CGCTGTGCGTGAGTACCACAAACACTGAAGGGCTGAATTTGATATTTATAAGTTGTAATTGTGTTGGGAACATTCCTGGAAATTTCAGCTCGCCAGCTTTCCTGGTCCCGAGTTAGCGACTTCTGCGCTAGGAACCCTCACAGGGCCATACGCGGGTACCACGCACACTTGGGGTCTAAGTTTGAAATCTTTGAGTTCTATTTGAAGAGGGACATAACATCAAAGTTTCAGCCTTCTAGCTTTTCATGTTCCCGAGTTAGCAATTTTCCCGCCAAAACTTTTACCTCCTCGTGCGCAGGACCCAGACTTGCGTGAGGGTTGGTACCGCGGTCCTGGGATGGCATCTAGCCGGGGAACCAATCGGCAAAATTTTAGCGCCGCAGTTTGCTTGGGTGCTGAGTTGAAATATACGGACAGACGCACACACACACGCACCTGGGTCGTCACAGTATGCGTTTTTGCATTTGCATATAAGCAAAAATGCATAACCAGAATTTGAAACAAAGATGGAGAGTAATTTCCGATTAGCCCTAAAATATGACCACTTTCGCTGGAAAAATTCTGGTTCTAAATCATATTCAGCCATCACTTTTACAAGCTAAAGTTGAGAAAAATCGAGTAATGAAAAAATCTGCATAATTCAAAATAAAAGAATAATGAAATTCTCGACCTTTCTTTTCTTCTTTCCTCCTTTCTGTTCAATATTTTCGCGAGATTTCATATTTTCGCGGGATTTTATAACTTCGCGAGATTTTTTTCCTGTATTTGGGCCGGTGCTGCTTACTTCGCTCTACAACAATCAACGCTTGGTTTTGTGATCGATGTGAATGTTAAAAATGAATAGGAATGTGAAAATGTGAAAACGATTAATTATAAAATACAGCTTATCAGTGCAGCACATTTTAGTAAAGCACGCTGCGGTCTCAGTTTACTGTGATTAACATATCAAGGCAGTGTACACCAGAAAGAAGAGTTGGACTGAACATGTGATAGGAATGAGAGAAAAGAGTTGGACAAAAGTGGATTATTGAACGGCACCCACAGAGTGGCGAAAGAATAAAGACAAAAGTGTCAATGTGATGCTTGCACAACTTTTTTCGATTTGGGTGAATGAGAGAAGCACAAAGCAGGGAGGAATGCGAAGATGCCAGTTGCAGCGGTAACGAGAAGAAACGCGCCGATAAAATAGCGACTGTTTAAAGCGCCAATTTAAGTGCTTTTAAAGACTTGTCGTTTTGGTGAAGATTTTTATGTCAGTTATTCAGAAAAAAAAAAAAAACTACCTCTTCTTCCATTTCTTCCCAATCAAATTTATCAGTTATTTTGACTTTTTTGCGTTCGGCTGCTAGCTGCAGCATTTTTGTGATGTATTCGTAGTCCGGTGTATTTTCATAGTTCAGTCCGTTGATGTAATTCAAAATAACATGAAACTCTTCTGGCAAACTTCCAATGTGCTTGGTATCTAGAAGTTAAATACTCCTGAAGTTTGCAAGCATTTTGACTTTGAATTAAGATTCACAATTGTTTCAACACAGTTAACCACTGATGCAG